GAGAAAAGGTATCAGCACTGGACCTTGTCCCACCGAAGAGGCTGATGACAGCGGCTCCTCCGTGCAGGTGCGGCCGGGGGATGGGAATATCCCGTGTCCAGGTCCTTCTGAAGCAATTTGTGGCCTGGGTTACGTCATTCCAAACGGGGCCAGGCGAGTTGGGTGGCACCAATCCCATGGGGCCACGTGTGTTGGGCTCCACTGTGCCAGAGCAGGGCTGGGGAGGAGGAAATCCATGGTGGGAACAAGTCACAGAGGCTACAACAGGACCACTATCTTCTCCTACCTTCTCCTTAGGGATGCTTGGACCAAAACACATGAGTAGAGGGATGAGAAAATTCCAGTTGGATGGGCAAACAGGCAGGTCCTACCAGTGCTTGTTAGGGCAAGCGAGGCCATTCCTAAATATCCTGAAGTTGAGCAAGTGAGGCCATTCCTAAATATCCTGAAGTTGATCCAAGTGCCTGGTCTTCAGCTGTGCTCCCACCACGGCGTGAACGTGCCTGTGCTAATCCCATGATTTACAGCTGTTTATCCTCCTCAGGAGCAGCTCCAGCTTTTCTCACCCACTTTCTCAAGGGGTTGCCTGAGGCAAAGCCAAGACCTAACGTTTCACCCTAAAACCAGGAAAGAAGTTTGTTGGGATGAGCAGCATCACGTGGAAGGGATCACTCTTGACTCCAACCCCACTGTCCTGCTCCGGATCCATCCTTACAGCAGGATGATGGACCAGGAGCAGGATCCCACTCAGATTCTCATCCTATCTCACTGCCTTTCTCTTCCCAGAGCATCCAGCTTGGATCAATCCCTATGTGTGGCTCCCAGGGAAAACTCAAGGTGAAACTCCACGTGTGGCTCCCAGGGAAGACTCAAGGTGAAACTCCACCTGTGTCTCCCAGGGAAAACTCAAGGTGAAACTCCATCTGTGTCTCCCAGGGAAAATTCAGGGTCAGGTTTTATCTTCAGGACCTCATCCCATGTGGATTTGGGTTCTGCCACGAGTGGGACCTCACCCATCTCTCCAGCAGCTGGACTGGGATGAGTCCCCTCTGGAGGATCTTCCCACAGGGAACTGGTCCAGGCACTAGTCCCATTCCATTCCAGTGGGATCCTCAGGGAATTCTCAGAGCAGCAAGCCCACTCTGATCTCCTCTCCTAAAGTTTTTATCCACTGGGGTGATCTTCATCCCACCCAATCCAAGGAAGCAGGGAGAGGGATCATCACCCCAGGAAGACCCCAAACCTCTGGAGAAGAATCACCAGACCATTCCCTGCACTCTGGATATCTCCAGCAGGTGCCATCCTGGTCACCATCCCCCTCCACCACCCCCAGCAGTGACAAATGTCTTCATCCAGAGCTGAACTGGCATCCTCAGCACATCCGGGCACAGGAAGAGGCCCTGACCTGTTTGATCCCATTGAGCAAGTCCCGGAAAAACCCCCGAAATCCTCAAGTTCTGCTTTTGCAATGGATTATCTCTCCGTGGGTGTGTGGGCACGAGCCCCATCCAGGGCTGACTCACAGCTCCTCACGCTCCCAGAGCATCCAAGTGTGCTGGAGCCGGATGTTTTCCCCCTGAAAGGCGCCAGCCCTGGGAGTGGGAGATTTACAGTCCAACAAGAGCCATAAACCAGGGATTTTTGGGTTGGAATCCTGAGGGAGGGAGGGAGGGATGATGAAATGTCCCTGTGTGTCCTCACCAGCCTCCGCTCCGTGGAAAGCAACATCCCACGTTTCCTCTGCCTCTTCCTGGGCTGTCAGCACAGTCATTCCCCTCGGAAGGGCAGGTTTATCCAACTCCAATTCCCAGTGGGATGAAGGTTCCTCTCCAGTTAATGTGGATCCCTAAGCTCAGCACAGCTCTCCCCATGGATCCAGAGCAGGAA